AATACAAACTCGGATACAAAAGACTGGGCTACTCCTGCAATAAGGTAAGGTTTGACCTTCTAGAGTGCACCGTCAAGTCTGAATAGATAGTACTTAGTTTAATGCATTGACAACAATTACTTGAGTTAAATAATTGCAGCTGACATGCTTTACCGATTGAACATTTAAGAGAAAGTGAGCAGGTAAAACAATCAGATGAACTGAATTAGGCGGTGAAAGCAGTACTTACAATTGACCAAGACTTGACAAATCAAAATCTGGAGCAAGCTCATTGACAATGTCATTAGGCGGTTGGCCACACTCTTGCATTTTCTGCATAAGCTCAACAATCTTGTTGAAGTTTGCTGGCTCAGTTTCATAAACTACATTAAGCTCTTTTATGAGTTCATACTGCTTCTCATAACGGCTGTATTCTTCGTTCACCAGTTTAGCTTTATTTTCATCTAACCATTTAGGGTATCTTTCTTCCATTTCTTTCATAGGCTCGTGAAGAATTTCTTTAGATAAGAGTTGTTGCATCATGGTCTCTACCATAGACTCCATGTCCTGTGAAATAGCAAACCACTACTTTTATTAATATGAGGTTCAACTTAATACTTCATAATTTTTAAGGACTACTAAAATTCTCATAGAGAACAATTCCCTAACCAAATGAGAGTGAGAAATTATAATACTAAAAAACAGGGATTACTGTATTTACTGCAAGTATAATCTTCTGAACTTATAACATTCACAAGGTAATCTTTCATTTTTTTACCAACAGTGAAATAAATAAAAACATGTAAGGAGAAAATGCATAGACAATGAAGGGATATTGAGTAGTTTATTTTTCGAGCAGTTACATACTCCGTATTACCATAAAACGTGAAAAATCTCTTAATTTTAAAAATAAAAGAATGCCTCCCCTCTTAAGAGTCCAACTCTTTAACATACCCTAAAGCGGGGCATAAAGTTTGATTATTATGCCAAAAAGCACATTAGCAGACAACATGTATCAAACAATTTCGCTTGAAGTTTCAACCAATCACAATAACATGCATAATCTAACAAGCACAGAGCATAAATTGTTAACATAACAATTAAAATTTCACATACTTTCCTTTAGTCCTAAATAACAAACCATACAAACTAAAGATAAAATCTGAAAAATTCTACAGCGAAAATACGGATACTACAAAAATTTACCCGAGACCCAGCAAGCTCCTCAAACTGCTTGACCCATTCATCCATCATTGCATCACTCCCCAAATCCTGATCACCAGGAAGCTCCAAGCCATTTATGGATTCTAGGCCCTTCACAGCCTCCCTGGTTTGCTCTCTGAGCTTATCAAGAGCCTCAGAAGCGTGCGAGTCCTTCACAGCCTTGGATTCCTTCTTTTGCTTACCAATTTTCTTAGCTCTCAAATCTGGCAATCCCATCCCTAGACCCTGAACCTCGCTAGGCATAGAACGTCCCTTCTCTTCTCCCAATTTACTTCTACAAAACCACACCAAACCAAACCTTTTTCATCACTTATCTATATATACACTTGTTAAGCATCCAAAGTACAGATAAAAGCAAAAGAAAAGTTAGGAAACAAGAAAAAGGGGATACCTTTGAGAAGCACCAGCGATATTGAGACTCTGGAAATCATCCAAAGCGCCTGAAAGATATGCATCCTTATTCAGCAACTTAAATAAAACTTTCTGACTCAATTAGAAAAAGCTTCTGATCTAAACAAACACACAATGGAAGAAGAGTTTCCCCAGAATCCAAAAACACGCATGTCTACTGTAAAGGGACATAGGAAAGGGTTTATGCGTTTACTTACTGTCAAGTAGCTGGTCTAAATCGTCGGAGTGATCGGTGGCCATGGATTTCCCCCAAATTTCTCCCAATTGATACGAAGACTTTCAACTCTTTGCAGTCTACCTACAAAAATCCGGTATTTTCGGTATCTTAGAAATAATGAGCACTGAATTCAGAAGTGGCGGAAGGCAAGGCCAAAATTTAGGCAACAAGAAGCAGTCAGTAAACGACTTCTTGGAGTAGGCTTGAGATAACGCCGTTTCAGGCGGAGTGACCGATAGTCCGATTACCAGAAATTAAATACTGTACACGGGTGCGGGTGCTCCCAAATCAATCATCAATGAATACCATGGAAATACCCGGGTACGCCTTTTCCCTTTTGGTTTCTCTTCGACTAACCCCATGGAAATTATGTTTTTTGAGATTATTATAATTATAATTGGTCCAAAAGGTTGAACGTCCAACCTTTTGTATATGGTAGGGTGTAATGCAATGCCATAGAATAGAGTACATAATGCAATAAAAATTGTAATGTAATGTAATAATAAATTTATTCCATTATCATGATTGGTTGGCTAAGTAATAATAACTTTGAAATGTAATCAACATGTATGAGTAAACGGTAGGGTCGAGACTTTGGAACCAATAATCGGAGAATGGAACCGGCCCGAATCTTTATTAGTTACAACATGTATTAGTTACTTGTTGATGGGTCACTTCCTATTTCTTATTAATGGTTCAGTTCTCAGTTTCTGAAAAAAATATGTACCTGAAACCGTTAATGAATCGTTATCAGTATACATATTTTAAAGTATATTTACATTTTTATTTTTATATGACACTAACTATTTTAATTTAGTTATTTAATCATTTAACATTATTATTTATTTTAGCGAGTTTCTCTAAGGCTCTTTAGGGCTCTTATTAGAGGCTTAGATGATCGAAATTGAATACTCTACTCGTACCCTTTGAGATAAATGAACTTTTTTCTGGCTAATTATGTTGCTGATTCAAGATAATAATTATTGATTGTAGTGAATATGTTGTATTGTTTTATTTACTAAAATTTTCAGTTTGGTATGTGTTTATGTTTTAAACTCAACGTTTGAGATTTGAAATGATGATAAACATGTTCATATGTAGTGTAAAAAAATTATCGTTATTTCATGTAATTTAAAACATTGGATGTTTTTTATGCACAAACTTAACGGTGATTCGCAATTTTTTTTTTCAAATTAGGAACCATTAAATGATAAGAACCGAATCGTTAAGAATGATTCAGATCCCTATCAGTTCTATTAAAATTTGATATTTTAAAATGTTTCCATCTATTTAGATCCATATCACGGCTAGAAGTATTAGTTAATGCAAAGTACACAAAGAAAATAAGAGGAGATAAAGAAGAGGTAACATCAGCGCAACACTCAAGAAGAAGAAAAAGTTGAGACTTTGAAAAACTCTAGCTAACCGCCTACGGTACATGAATTACACGAGATTATACGTTTTATTCGGTAACATGAATGAAAAACGGTCAAAAATTCATGAAAAAAAGTTGACTTTTAAAAAACGCGTACACACGTATACGTGGATTATATGATATTTGTTACAAAAGTTCGAACAAAAAATGGGTATTATTTTGAACATTTAAATTATACAATTCACAAAATAACATATATGGTAAAAAAGAAATAAAAGTATACACATATTCAAATAGCAAATCTCATTACTACATAAAAGAATAATTCGTAATTGCATAAATCGATGACAAAAAAAATAGTAATTAAGTCCCAGACATAATTTTGCAAACTAATGTAAAAAAACAAGGAAGATGAGACTTATTCAAAATCATTATTTTATATGATCATCAAATAACACTCAAGTTAAACTCATCATTTTCATCAAGATGATGGATGACATGCGAGAAAAGTTGTGTGACGACTGCTACGCTTATTATTATTATTATTATTATTATTTATGTATAAAGGTTAATACTAAAATGTCAGGATTAGAAAAACCTTAATTTTGATAAGTTAGCTTGCTTGGAAAAACATCAAAAATCTAGTAGTATTTTAAGTTTTAGTCTTTAAGGAAGTTGTTTTTAGTCGCCATGCTTTAGCCGTCATGGAATTGATTTTAGTATTTAATAATTATATCGTAACAATATATAATCACGGGGATAAGGTTTCTCTTTTTTCTTTTAAATTATTGTTTTATCCCCCATGCATTTAATGCATTCATTCAATTGATCAATTCATTTTTCTATTTTTTGTATATAAAAATAGGAAAAATACGTTTTATACAAGAATTAGGAGTTTTTTCCCTTCGACGTTATTTTTCGTTTTAAACATATTTTATTATTCAAAAACAATGTTACGTGTTTAAAACGCAATTATAAACTTTTAACACAATTACAGTCGCTAATAATTATTATGTCACATTTTTATCCATGACTTTTTTGTTAGTAATATTTTAGGAGAAACCTCTTAAAACAAAGGTTAGTCATATTTTGAAAAAAGAAAAAAAAATAGTCACTTTCAAAGCTGTAGGTAATATTTATGTCCTTTTTCCAAAAAAAAAATCAAATATACTACGTATTTTATTAAATAAATAAAGAAAAAATTATATGAAAAAGTAGCTAAAATGATCCTTTACTGTAACTTCAGCCAATTCGGGTAGAAAAGTAACTTCAATTTTACATATTTTGATTATTACATAATTCAGCCCGTGAAATCAAAAGTTACATATTTGATGAAAAATGACCATTAAGGATAGACTCATAAAGCGAAAATGGGGATCACCGGAGAGGCTCTTGCCCTGTTTGAATGGAGTGTCGGGATGTGTTAGTAAGTGTAGGCATGGGCCCCAAAGGGAACGTAAGTGTAAGTGTAAAATATAAACTTACCTTATATTTAGAAGAGTTAAGAAAATGAAGTTTTTTGGCAAAGCTTATTATACTAAATATAGTTTAATTAAGGGATATTTACTAATATATGACTAAAACATTGACAATTTCAGAATATATGACTACTACTTTTGTACATCCCAAAATATGATTAAATATTAATTTTATACATACGAAACACTATCATATTGGGAAGAAAAAAGATAGAAGTCATATTTTGGGAAACACATTAAATTTTAGTCATATGTGGGTTAATTTTCTCTTTAATTAAATGGTAAAGTTATAAAATAGCAAAGTTTTTTGGCAAAGTTTTTTTAGTACTTGTATATCATTACATTTATACGTAGCACTGGTATAACTTTTTACAGAGTATTAATTTCTGACCCAGAAACTAAACATCGTAACATTAATTTAAGGAATTTTATCAATTCAGGACTCGGAAGATACATTTATTATCAATTCAGGACCCGGAAGATGAAACATGTCAGTATAGGACCCGAATGATGGAAAACTATCAATTTAGGACCTAACGTTTCATAGGTTTTGATTTATTTAATTTTTTATTAATTCCATTACTAATTTTTGATAAACTTTTCTTCACAAAAGTTTATTAGTTTAATAAAATGAAATAATATTTAAAAATTTTTAATAAAAAAATTATGACAACTTAGGTCCTAGATTAATAGTTTTCAATCATTCGAGTTTTAGATTGATAGTTTTTCATCATTCGGGTGCTATGCATTTTATCTTTCAGGTCCCGAATTGATAATTAATCTATCTTTCGGGTCCTGAATTGATAAAATTCCTTAATTTAATTTTTTGGAGTCTTCCATACAAAGTCTTTTGACTTCATCGAAAGCTTCCTCCATTTTGCCAATAAGTTGTGATTCCAGCAACCGATCATCCTCTGCGTTGACTTTTCCACGACCATTATCGGTTCTCCATCTATTCTCTGCCATGCAAATAAAAGATATCCCCACTATATACCAATGAGATACTCGACCATAGCGTCTTTCCCCAACCATCTTCACCACATAAACTTCAACGCAACTCAAAACAAGCATGGTAAACCAAGCTCCGATCTCGAACACTACCAAGTTGCTCTTTTCCCCATTCCTATGATATTCCATGACACCTAAACGTGACCAATATCCAAGTCCTAATACGTTGACCACGATATGGGAAGCGACTAACGTTCGACAAACGACACGTTCAGCAGTCGAAATGTTAGGATAACGTGCCGTTTCTGAAGCGTTAGTCGCTTCCCACGTGTGACTAGAAAGCCACATGAACATCCTAACCCCGAGGATGAGTCCATGGCTACTCATCAATTTTCTTTTAAATAGTATCACTCCTAGAATTACAACCGTGACCGCAATTCCTCCCAAAACTGGAACAATAAAAATAGTTATCAAATCGGTATAGTTACCTGCAAGAGTATTTAAAAAATAAACCAACACATAAAAATTAAGTAAGATTGATTGGCTGGATTAATTGAAGTTATAAATACATGCATATAAATACTTGAAGGACATATATATACGTACTATTATTCGTAGAAGGTGGAGGATAAGCTTTTGTTACGTCTATTTGCGCCATCATGTGTGCTGTGGAGTAGTTGTGATTCTTGATATTCACCAATATATAGTAATGTGAGTGGTCCAACGGTTACAACCCATACTTTGTTAAGTTGAAGATGTGGTTCAACATACTTCCTATTAGGGATTAGGATCATCAAGGTACCTTGAAAAAAGGCTTCGAGATTCGTGAAAAAAGTGAACCATTTATCTTTTACTCCCTTCGTCCCTAAAAGGATTGCCAAGTTTGACCAACACGTAGAATAATAAAATAAAATATGGGTGATAGAGATTTGTGCAGGGTAAGGAGAAATAACAGGAACCACATATTGATTGAGTAAAAGGGAAAGTGACAAAGTTTTTGGAACAAGTAAAAAAGAAAGTTGTCAAAATTATAAGGGACGAAGTGAGTACGATTTTTTATCCGATGGCTGCCGAAGTAAGGCAGAGAAGTCAGATCCACGTGTTAATGAGTCGGAAAATGTGGGTGAACAAAACTACTCTAGTAAATAACACGGAGTACTACATGCGATAGGGCAAAAATATGGTTGAAATTTTTAGGGCTTTTGACCTGAATATTAGTAATAAAGAGTCAATTGACAAAAAAGTGACCATTTTTTTAAAATTCCAAAAATGTGACTAATAATTAACAAACTTACTTATTTGCCCATTGCTACAGTGAAACGCTACAGTTACATTAACAAAAATGTGACATCCACCACCACCACCCCACCACCACCCCACCACCTCCCACCGGTGACCGTCGCCGCCGGAGACCGTCACCGGTCATAGTGACCATGACATAGTGACATGACAGTGACGTCACCGCAGTGACGTCGCCGTCGCAGTGACGCCGTCGCAGTGACGTCGCCGCAGTGACGCCGCCGCAGTGACGCCGCCAAAGCGACACCGCTACAGTGATGTTGTTGCACCCTTGCTCAGCCCATCCGCCAGTCACCTCCAACCCCTGCCCCAACCCATCCCTGCCTTCAACCTCAAAACCTCCGACCACCACCGCCCCCAATGACCCACCAGTGCTTTGACCTGCCCCCATCCCTAGCCCCAATCCCCTCCCCTGCTCCGCCCTGTCCCACCCCAGCTCACTCCCCCATCTCTGATTCCCTGATTCCGAACAGTCCAACAACCCACCCCTTTTCAGCCCCACCTTCCACAGCCCAACCCAGCCCTAACCAATCGCCGCCGTCCCTAGATCTGATTTGGTCGCTTGCTGGTTGCCACAGATCTGGTAATCCGTAATCCATCCATCCGAGGTGAGGCAAGGTGGAGGTGACCTGTGAAACAAAGTTGTACGGCGGGGCTACGACGAAATCAGACAACCCGTGCGGTGAGGCAAGGCGGTCTGTGCGGCGAGGCAAAGGGTCTGTGAGGCGAGTCTGAAGTGCGACGAGGCTGAGGCGAGTCTGAGGAGAGGCAGAGACGAGGCCGGAGGTTTGGCATAACAAGGAAGATGCGCAGAGAAGTGGCAGACGATTTTGAGCAGAGAAGAGGCGGACGATTTTGCACAGAGAAGAAGTGCGCAGAGAAGAAATGCGCTGGGAAGGAAGAAACGAGAGAAGAAAAGACGGATCTGGTTACTTTTATGTCCAAACATATAATTGTCGTATTTTTGTCCATCAGAACTCCCCTAATAACATTTTTGCAATTCTTTCAAATTTTTATTCCCCAAATATGATTTATCTAGTTCTATTAAAAAGAATAAGTTGATTAAAACTTCTAAAAATATGAATGAACGAGTCCTATTATGGGAATGAAATAATTAGTCCTATTTATGAAGAGTATCATTGTTTTAGTCATATTTAAAGAATTTTCTGATAATATTAATGTAAATTTGAATTTAACGCAAGATCATATTTACATTTTTTACTTTCTACTGCATGTGAACCCTAAATCTTGGTATTATGAAGTGTAGCATTTAGAAACTAAATAAAAACAGAAATTGGGATATACTTCAATTCGTAAATAGTATTTATATAAAAAAGTATTTAAATAGGAGTAAAACGAGTCCTATTTAAATAGGAGTTAAACGAGTCATATTTCTAAAAAAGTCCATGGACTTTGAAATTCACGGACTTTTAATCTGTGGACTTTTAAATTCATTGACTTTTAATCTGTGGATTTCTAAAAAAGTTCACGGACTTTTAAATGCATGGACTTTTAATCCGTGGACTTTTCATATGAATGACTTTTATATGAATGACTTCTATGAATTTCAACAAATCCATAGACTTTGACTTTGACTTATTTCAGATTAGATCAAACCAGATTTTAATAGATCAGACCAGGCTTCTAGAATTATAAAATGCACAAAGATCAAACATCCATCCTACTAGGTCATTCATATGAAAGTCTATGAAAGCAAATAAAAAATATGACAAATATAATAGTCAATGTTCTTTAAAAAATATGAAAAATAAAATATTCAAGTATAAGCTTTAAACGACATAAAAAATGTCATCAATTCTCAAAATTGAAACAAATGTCTTGTGCTATTGAACTATGAATCAAAATTATTCATTTTCTGCAACCGCCCACATTTGAGTAGCAAGATTCATTCTCATTCATTGCCTTTTGCCCTCTGTTGATCTTGTGTCTGAAAATCATCTCATTCAAAATTATCCTCATTATCGCTAGGTGAGTCTTCTTCTGGGTCTTGAGGAAACTCATCATATCGAAATTCACGTCAAATGAGTGCACAAATAACAAATCTGACTATGCACAAACAACAAATCTAACAAATAAATGAGTGGAGTGCATACACCAAATGAGTGCATTGGTGCAATAAAGTTTTTTAAAGCTTTTGATTTAATGTTGTAGCTTTATACTCCATTCGTCCTTTAAACCTTTTTCATCTTTCTTTTTTGAGACGTCCCAAAAAACTTTGCAACTTTCCCTTTTAATCAATTATTTTGTGGTTTATGTTATTTCTCTCTCCTCTACACAATCTCAACCACACAATTTTTACTTTATTATTCTCCGTGTCGATCAATTTTGGCAAAATTTTAAGGAACGGAGGTAGTAATAAAGTTTTTGAACATCTTAGCTTGATATCTGTACCATTGATGCAACAGTCCAATGTCTGTGAATTGTTTTTATGCTGCTGAAAGAAATGATACTACCTCCATCCCTCTGTTATTGTCTCATTGCGGTTTACGATGCTTGACTGACGATGAAGCAAACAGATCCCTGTCTGCACTAGAATTATTTTTAGGAAAAAAAATGCATATTCAGAAACTACATTAAAAGGTTTACAAAGTCGCAAAAACCAGAATCAAGTTTGATAAAAATTTGATAAATAAAGTAAGAAATTAAGAGTTATTTGTGTTGACCAAGTGAATAGGAAATGAGACAATAATAAGAGGACGAAGGAGTATTATATACTCCCTCCGTTCCCAAAAATACTTCCCACTTTCCTTTTTGGGCTGTTCCCAAAAATACTTCCCACTTTCCCATTTTGGACAATTTGTGTGGCTCACATTCATTTTACCTTTTTCTTACACAACCACAATCATACATTTCCACTTTATTCCACTTTCTTAATAAGCGTGCCAAGTCAAACCGGGAAGAATTTTTAGGAACGGAGGGAGTATTGTTTTTTTCTAAAGTAAGTCATGAGTGTTTCAGCTCAAATTCAAAATTTCAATTATTACCCTTGAAATTGATGATGATTTTTATAATGCTGACATATAGATCCTTAAATTCTTGTTGCTTGTACATCTCTAAAGAGTGCTGAAGTGACATTGGGTACATATCTTCTGAACCTATGGATGTAAGTTACTATTCTTCTTAATTCATGATGTAGCCATCTAATACATCATAAATTATCATGATCTATTCTTCTGAACCTTGGGACACCCGGTACAACAAGAAGGAATCTAGTAGTATAACATCTGTCCCAGTGTCCCATTATCATTGAGAGGTGAGGAAATGGCGAACACTACAAAGAGTGTAGGAATTTGTAACTAATACTCCCTCCGTTGCTAAATAAACTTTCAACTTTCCTTTTTCGTCCGTTCCAATTAAAACTTCCACTTTCCCTTTTTGATAAAGAATTTGTGGTTCACAACATTTCTTATACATTTCTCTCTTCTCTGCACAACTCTCCACCACACAATATCCACTATCTTAAACTTTGTGTCAAACCCATTTGGAAGTTAAAATGGGAACGGAGGTAGTAATATTTAATTAGCGAAATATGAACTGATTTGGATCGTATAAGCATGATTTAATGTGGTGATTGAAAAGGTGGTGAGATGAAAGAAAAAAATGGACAAATAGAATGAGACTTGGCTTATTATCGATCATACATTAAGATACGTACGGTGTTGCCACGTAGCTAGCTAAGTGGGTATGGAGTAAATTGATGCAATCTGATATGGCGAAGAAAATAGCATTAAAACAATTAGCTATGGCACATGACATGCTGCCTAGCTAGCTATGAGCCTATGAGGTAATTGAACTTTCAAATTCAATAAAATACTTTTCACTTTAATTTCTTTCAACAATAAGTCCTGGTTATGGACCTGTCCGGGATCGGTATGAGGCAAAATACTTTTTTTTTAGTTTTTTGGCATTGGGCAACTGTTAGATGGATGGGGTTGGGTGTTTTATTAAAAAAATGACCCGAACCGGCCCGGTCCCGGTTCAAACCTGGGCTGGTACCGGGCCTTCAGCCCAAATCCCTAGTCCCGCCCAATCTCGGCCCGGGCCCCAACCTGGGCCATCCCTAGCCACACAAAGAATCTCAAGAGACCTTTTTGAGTTCTATTTCTTTTGGTTTATTAAGAATACGTGTTGAGCAAAAAAAATACGTGTTGAACATATTTTAGATAGTTGTCACAGTTCTTTTGCTAAGCAAATTCAACCATTTTAACCATTTTTAAAAAACCCTTGGGCGTCACTAGGGATGGACTGAACCAGGCCGGCCCAGTCCGAAACCAGCCCGACCCGCTACTGTGCGGGTCCAGACCGGATCGGGACCGGTTGGCCGGTTCCGGGCTTTTAGCCCATTTGGGCGGGTCGAGTGGGTCAGGCGGGTCGGGCTCGGGCCCAGGTTTGGGCGAACCGGCCCGAGCGGTTCAAGCCGGGCCCGAGTCATTTTTTTTTCAATTTTTTTTCTTTTCCTATGGTAGGGCTGGGTGTTTTGGGGAGGTTTGGGGGTGGGTGGGGGGGGGGGGGTTGGGGGATAACAAGAAAGCAAAAAAAATAGACATTGAACCAGGCCCGGCCCGATCCAGCCCGGTTAGACCCGGACCCGGTATCAACCCGGGCCGGTTCCGGGCCCAAGGATTTGCAAAAAAAGCCCGTCCAGGCCCGGCCCAGAACCAGACCAGCCTGGGTCCATCCCTAGGCGTAGGGGTGGATTCGGGCCGGGTCGGGCCCGGGCCGGGCCTAGGCCCGGTCGGGCCGCCGGTTCTAGAATAGTGGGCCCGGGACCGGCCCGAGGGTTGGACGGGTCCGGTTCGGGCCGGGCCACCCGCCCGGGTCACGGGTCGGGCCACCCGTCGGGCCGGGTAATTTTTTTTTTAAATTTATATTTTATACTTTATAGTTTTATACAAGTATTAAAAAACAAACTTCAAGTGCATTTATTTGAAATGAAATAGGAACTACATTTGAAAATTAAATAGGAACTATAATTGTTTTTAATCGGAATCTCCGGCATAAGTAGAGCCACCCTCTGTAGATTCATCCATAAAGTGTTGTGATGGAGTGATGTCAATTTCTTGAGCTCTACGTGCTGCTTTCAACCAATCGTGGTAGCATATAAGCATCTCAAGAGATTCAGCGCTCAACCTCGTTCTGGTTTGTGTTAGAACATTGTCGGCCGAACTAAATTCTTGTTCCACGGCAACCGTTGAAACCGGCATTGATAGCACTTGCTTAGCCATCTTTGCTAAAACTGGGAACATTCTTTCTTTTCCCTTCCACCAGTTTAGTACGTCAAAATCATCATCTTCTTCAAAATCAACATCATAAGTTAAATACAAAGAAATCTCATTAATTGTGCTTTGTTGTGTAGCGGGAGTTGATTTTGTTTTTTTAATAAGATTGGCAAACGTAGATTTGAAAATTGATTTTCCTTTAGATGATGTTTGTGTCGGAGGAGGGGGCGCATTGCCATATTGTGCATGAAACTCATTGAATAATGCATAAAATATATCACTAACCTCGGTGTATTCTTTTTTCGGATCAATTGGGTTGTCCTCATACATTGGCAATGGACCAAAAAAAGCAGCATAATAATAATTCAAACATTCTTCTAAAGAACCAAGTCTAAAACGAGGATCGAGAACAAATGCAATACCATAGATATGCGGAATATGTGAATAATATTTTAAAAACTTTTCCTTCATAAAACCAGCAAAATAATTCACATAATCAGCATTCTCAAAATTTGAAAAAGCACCGGCGAGATTAACAGCTTCACGAATAAATTGGTTTGAGGTAGGTTTATAAACATGACTAAAAGTTTCAGTTGCATTATTAAAATATATCAAAGCATTACAAATTTTTTCACATGTGTCGATCTCAGCCGAGTTTATAATATAGTTATCATATTGTTTCATAAAAGCAGGAAAATGTTGTTTATATCTAAGAAGAACTCCAATTAACTTATAGGTACTATTCCAACGAATAGACAAATCTTTTGGAAAAGCCACATATCTCTCACCTCTTTCTATCAAATAATCATGCCATTTTTTCCTAAGGTGTCCATTACCCCAAATACGTCTAATCCCCCCCTTGACTACTTCCAACGATGCTCCCAACGCTTTTAGACCATCTTGCACACATAAATTTAGAACATGACATGCACATCGTTGATGAAAAAATCTACCCATCAAAGAAGTAGAACCACACAATTCACGCAATCTAGGAATAGCAGCAGTATTATTAGTAGCATTATCAAAACCAATAGCAAACACCTTATCAATTAAATTATACTCAATTAAAATACGTTCAATCAAAATATAAATATGTTCAGCGGTGTGACGATCATTAAATTCACGGAAAGCAAGAACACGTTTATGCATATGCCAATCATTATCAATATAATGTACAGTCAGACCCAAATAATGTAAATTATGATAAGTATCCTCCCATATGTCAGAACATACAGTAACACGTCCATCAAAGTTTGCAAAATAATTTTGTAACCTTACCTTTTCCGCACCATAAAGCCTTGAAATTTCTTTCTTAACCGTTTTGCGACTATAACCTCTATATTGCGGATTTAAACAAGTTTGTGCATAATCACGGAAAGCAAGGCTTTCAGAAAACAAATAAGGCAAATTTTCTTCAACAAGTAAGTTAGCCATACCTGTCAAATTTTGTGCATCATTGTATGAGAAATTACCAAAAGCTTGTTGGTTATTTGCAAACCTCGATATTTGCGTTTGTTTCCCCGTTCCGCCGCCTAATTTTGCATACTCCACCGGGTGTTTGGACTTAAGGTGTCTTGTGGAGGATCCGTATCCGCCGGAAATCCCCAAGCTATAGTTTTTCTTGCACCAATTGCAAGTTGCGGTCCAATTCCCGGTGTTCGGGTTCTTCCACTTAGAAAAATTATTAGCCATTAATTCAGATTTACTTTTTTTTGTACCTGTTTGGGATGAGGCTGCTTGGTCGGCGTCATGGCTGCCGCCACCCTCCTCCTCGTCGTCGTGGCTCTCCGGAATTGCTTCCTCCACATCGTCGTCCTCGTCCTCGAGCTCTTCTTCGTCAATGGTCCTCGGTTGATCTTGAAAAAAGCGGGAATTATGTCGGTGCAATTCTTGTTCTAGTTGTTCGTCGGTCATCGCATCCCCATCCCTCCTTACGTAACCCGTATCAAAATCATCTTGACTTTGAGATGAAGAGCCGAGATGGGATTTACCTTTGCGGTATCTCTTCCTCGCAAGCTCGTTCGTTCGGTTGCGCTCGAGGTTACCCATATCAACCGAATATCTAGGACGATCCATCTAAAAAATGTAGCAATTAATAAAAAATTGTAAAAAACTAATTAACTATTTATCTAACTATTAATTCGAGTTATAGCAAATTAAGTAGTGAATTAACTAGTTTTGTGTACAACATATTTTTTAAACTAGAGTCAAATGTAGCAATTAATAAAAAATTGTAAAAAACTAATTAACTATTTATCTAACTATTAATTCGAGTTATAGCAAATTAAGTAGTGAATTAACTAGTTTTGTGTACAACATATTTTTTAAACTAGAGTCAAATGTAGCAATTAATAAAAAATTGTAAAAAACTAATTAACTATTTATCTAACTATTAATTCGAGTTATAGCAAATTAAGTAGTGAATTAACTAGTTTTGTGTACAACATATTTTTTAAACTAGAGTCAAATGTAGCAATTAATAAAAAATTGTAAAAAACTAATTAACTATTTATCTAACTATTAATTCGAGTTATAGCAAATTAAGTAGTGAATTAACTAGTTTTGTGTACAACATATTTTTTAAACTAGAGTCAAATGTAGCAATTAATAAAAAATTGTAAAAAACTAATTAACTATTTATCTAACTATTAATTCGAGTTATAGCAAATTAAGTAGTGAATTAACTAGTTTTGTGTACAACATATTTTTTAAACTAGAGTCAAATGTAGCAATTAATAAAAAATTGTAAAAAACTAATTAACTATTTATCTAACTATTAATTCGAGTTATAGCAAATTAAGTAGTGAATTAACTAGTTTTGTGTACAACATATTTTTTAAACTATAGTCAAATGTAGCAATTAATAAAAAATTGTAAAAAACTAATTAACTATTTATCTAACTATTAATTCGAGTTATAGCAAATTAAGTAGTGAATTAACTAGTTTTGTGTACAACATATTTTTTAAACTAGAGTCAAATGTAGCAATTAATAAAAAATTGTAAAAAACTAATTAACTAGTAATTAAACAAGTATAAATAATAGAATAATTTCGTACCTCTTTCGGACTTTCGGTCTTTCGGATGGGAGTAATAGAATGACTTCAAATTAATTAGATATAATTCCAACTATATTAATAGATATAATAAATATATAAGTAATATATAATTAGATAACAAATATAAGTAATATAATACTATTTATATCTATTTATAGTTTATATAAGTAGATAATTAATATAAACTATAAATAATAAATATAATATATTGGAGAATGGAGAATAAGAGAATTAGAGAGTAGAGAGTTAAGAATAGGATTTAGGAAGAATTGGAGAAGAGATATGAAAAAATGTTTAAGATTAGGAGTATTTATAGGTTTTTTTACCCCCCACCCCCCCCCCACCACCCCCCCACCACCCAACCCCCCCGGACCCCCCCTATAACCCACCCAACGGCTATATAGCCGTTTGGGTTGTCCCCAGCCCCACCCCCAACGGCTAGTAGGAGCCCAACCCAAAAAATTTTTTTTTTTTTAAATTTGATCGAACCGGACCCGGGCCCGGGCCCGACCCGGCCGGGCCGGGTCACAAAATTGCTGAACCGAGCCCGTCCCGCTTCTTCCCCCGGTTCGGGCCCAGACCCGGTCCCAGACCGCCCGACCGGGCCGGTCCCGGGCCCGCACAGTACCGGGCCGGGTCACGGGTCGGGTGGCCCGAACCGAATCCACCCCTACCTAGGCGTCACAAATCCCCTGCACGGCTGCACTTGGAGGAGATTAGGCACAGTTATAGTTAATAGTTTCATGCGGCATTTGGATGAGGACATATGGTTATTTGACCAAAAACAGACCCAACTTTTTGGACTGTAAGTCTGGAACTGGAACAAAAACCATTGCAGGGCCAGTCCGGTTTCAAATTTTCAATTAGGTGCTTTCACTTTTGACCGAAATTTTCTGATCCAGTTTGATTTAATTTGATAAATGCGTGATATAAATATATTTCATGATTGAGTACTAAAAGTCATCCAAGTGAAAACAACTTTAATACGGAGTAGTTTAATTTGTAAATGGGCCAGAAATGATGAGGTCCTACCCTACTGCTTTTCAAAATCTTGAGTATCTGACATAAAAGTAGACCAAGAACAAGCTCATATCCGTCCTTTCTGGACTATGAATCCTTACAAGCTCACAAATGGACCTAGAAAATTAGGGAGTAGTTGGCGAGACATGAATTAACATAAGGCAATACGCACAATGAAGGTGTTTCATGTCAATGTTAAAACAACATCATCATCATCATCATATGACAAACTGCAAGCATAACCCCAAACTGAAAATTAACATGATGTTGTACTACTGTCTGCGTTAATTAACAACCAAATTTCCCAGAAAAAGCCAATGTTCATACCATCTACTTCCTCAAGGTACACAAGTTGTATAGATAAAAAACACTTGCCCATACAGCCATACTGGTAGATTCTTCTTCATACTCTGCCCCTCACTGGATCCTGAAATTTTTCGTAGTATAGAACTTTAAGCTAATGAATTCTAGACAGAAAAAAGTTGGAGAACTACACACAAGTTGCACAACACCACTTCATCTACTCAAATATAGAAAGAAGATCATGAACTCATTTCCCAACAAATCGAGAAAGAATTCTTTCATCGGCTGCTCTGAAGCCCCCCACCCACTCCATTCAAAGGATCATTCAATACAATCCCCGCCCAAGACTGCCCTAGCTCTGAATACAACCAAAATTTTGAGAACAGCCTATTTGTCAAAAGGGAAAAAGCAACTCACCATGTGGGAACTTCAAACTATGATTTTAGAACCGATTAAATGATTTCCCATAATCATTGCGTCTCTGACGAAAATCACCAAAGCTATCATGGGGCCTTGATGGAGGATAACCTTCCATGGGATTTGGATACCTGCTCCTGGAATCTGTGGGCAAAATGGATTCAGAATAATGCGTGTTTCCTGCAGGATTTGAATACTCTGTAAAAACAGATTGATTGTATGGATGACCAAATCCAGAAGCATTCATATTTTGAAGATTAGTAGACGGTTGCATTCTTCTTTGGCCATCAATTTGAATCAACTCTTCTCTTTGCTTGGCATATGCCCCTTTGAGGAAAGTCATATTTTTCATGTAATTCTCCCTTATTTGCCGGACAGCCTTGAAAAAAAATGTCAGATCAGAATTAAGCTTGGGTGGTTAAGGAAATATATAGGCATGAGCCTAATAATCCAAAATAGGAGAGATAAATGAGTGTATTTTACTATCAATGTTTTTATATAAGAACATGCCTCACGATGCTTGTGATTCTCTTCATCTTCTTCCTTGTCCCGAATCCTTCCGAGTTCATCAGCATCTCTCTTGTATTCCAGCTCTATTTCTTCCAATGTCTGCAGAAAAGCTGGGTATTGAACATTATGGCCACATTCCATGTCAGACACTCGTGGCTCACCATTCCATCCATCACTATTTGTGTAGGCATCCCTACTCTGACTACGTCGATCCCAAAAAGACCTCCGTCCCGGAGACCTTGACTGGCTTGAACGTCCTCTAGCTCCATCACTATTATAAGCTATATATATATATATATACAAAAGGAAGAATTTGTTAAGAATAAGAACATCCTTTAAGACCTATGAAGTCTCTGTAATGATGGCAGCTTTGACACAAAATTTTCAACTTCTCATTTACCCATCTACAGAGTGTCTGGACATGCTTTCAGTTTAAAATTTTCATTTTGGTGACAGTACCTTTAATATCAGACCCCCATGTAAGTTACATCAGAATCGAACAGAAATCTTGGACAGAAGAACTTACCTCTTGCTGCAAAAAAATTTGGGCAACAAGCAACATTACATTATTATTAAAAGGAAAACAGAAGAATTCAAAGGAGCAACAAAAGGCATGTCTTAAAGTGTCTTACAAGCCCAATTTAGTCTTACTAGCACATTAGTATGGAAATACAACTGTATAATCGTATCTGCTTACTTTGGGGAGAACCCCTGGAGATGTTCTGCAAATCTTCATGAAACCTGTCACCAATTATCTTCTCTTGTCTTGCACGCCTGACATCAAACTGTGAGGCTCTATGTGGGCTTTGATTCAATCTTTGTTGACCAGAGTGTACCAAACGAGTACTAACTGGGCTCCTGCGCTCAGGAGGTGTCCTGGACCTGGAAACGTTAGAATTGGGAAGGGATTTTTTCTCACCGTCTTCTTTGACTTTGTGAACTGCATCCACACCCTTCTTCAAGATCAACCTATCCTTCCCACTGACAATAATAAATTTTTCCTCAATTTTAATCTTGCATCCAATATCCTTCTCAATCTGAGTCACCACTTTCTCAGTGAACAAGGCTTTCACGTGATTTTCTCTGGCAGGCACTCTTTCGAAAAAATCTTGAGACTTCCTATTAGCTCCAAGAGTTGAAGGACAGCCCTATAAGTAGGTGGGGTTAGCAGTATATTTGATATGTATAAAATCAGTCTTGAATATATGTCAAATGGCCATGTTATATTTTCCAAAACAAAGGACTTCTCAAATAACAAATCATATGACTATCATTGAAGAACCCATTGGTAAAGAACTATGTAGCACGGAAACTCTCGGGAAAGAGTATGTTTCCCGTTTCGGAAACTTCCGGAAACTCTTTGGAAACTCTCCAAATAAGCGTTTCCTGTTTCCTCATAATTTTCGCATTTCCGTGCAACATAGGTAAAGAAAAGGAATAAACCCTACACTAGTACACTATAGGAATACCAGATGCTGAAAAATAGGAACATCTAATACCAGCTTGAGAATTTAGAATGTGCGCTTACATAGAAAAAGCCTCTATGATACTGAAACATAAGAGTCATTAACCATAAAGTTATTTGCGTTAAGTTCAAAGAGAGACCCTCAAAAATGCCAAGTTTGAGATGATGAGTAGCCAAATAAACACTTAAACTTCATATAGCCTTGAAATATTTTAATAAATTACCTGCAGTGGAAATTTAGTGAAAAAAGTGCAATTTATAAATCTTATTCAATTGAGACCGAAAAGAAACATTGAAGAAACGTTGTAAGATTTATAGTTATATGGCATGTCAAAATACATAACTTAAACATGTTTTAACTATCATACACAAGCAAATATTGGCTTCCAACGTGTGCGTGAGTTTGTCATTTGAGGACCTCATGCCCAATGATGTAAGGGGGAAAAACAGCTCAAAATAGAACTTATACCTGTGTAAAGTGTCCTGACTCTCCACATAGTTTACAAATAAACTCTTCCTCCTTCCTTTTCTTCCAGTTTCTCTCGGTTGCTTTGGATTTAGCTTCCCATACCTTTGCTTCTCGGCTAGTAAAATCAGTAGGAACAGCATTTGGGTCAAGAGCCTCTTCTTCCTCATCAGAACCAGTTTGGGGCCTTTTGTTTGATATTGGTTTTTCCTCCGTCTTGGGAGCAGCAGTAGATCCAAGAGGGCCAGTATACTCCTTGTATATATCACTAAAATCATCATCAACATCTGAATCCTGCATACTGCTCATTTCCAGGCCAAGCAATCACACCTGCATAACAGGAGTGAGAGAAGAAGGGAATTTAGAATATTTCCTGTATTAAAATAAGAATTGCCATTGCACATTCAACAATTTCACATTTCCATATCATACGGAGCACTTTCTGAGTTTCCACTGCAGATCATTTAGTAAAACCATTGAAGGATATAGCATAACAATTTCTTGGAACAGCAAGCTTCCGAATAATACACAAAAAGAAATGAGAATTGAAGTGTACAAACTCTGCACAATGCAGTGATTAGGAAAAATATGCACTCTTCGTATCAGATTCAAACTCGAGCAATAAATTTCAATGTTTCAGATGTAAATATTAGCAGGGCACAGTAAAGAACGCAAGAAAATGAAAAGGCTCATGAAACGCATCATGAATCGAAGAACCGAACAGCGTACAGTCAACTGTATTCATTGAGCAATAGGTATGATGATAAAATGAAGAAACTGTGAAACCGGGAAGATATATAACAATACCTTAAAGGGAACGCCTTCGCGTAGAATCCGGCGGCGCCGGAAGTCCGATTACGAATCCTCTAGGGCTCTGGCTTCCAGTCGCAGAAAAATGTGACACACGGTATTTAGAAAGCAGGTGAGTGCGAGTGTACGGAAAAAGAAGTGGTGCACCAGTGTAGGTCCGTAGGAAAAGGCTAGGGCTTCTAAATACTCCATCCATTCAAATTTGATTTGCAAAATTTCCTATCTTGGTTCTCTTAAAATGATTTTCCACTTTCTATTTTAGGTATGTAAATAAGAATAAAGTCACAAATTTACCCTTACTTTTACTTTTTTCTCCATTAACTTAAAGGTATCTACTTTTAGAAAGATGTGCAAAAGTGTAAAAAGCAAACATCATTTATTGTCATTCCTTAATCATTGTGTCAGTCAAAGTTTTTAATTCAATTCGGGACAGAGGGAGTATTGTATTTAAAATGTCAAAAATGCTCTTTGTACACATTATTATACAATAGTACACACTATAAAGAAAAATGTGTGGTGTACACCTTTTGTGTACGACCGTCAAATGTTTTTTGGAAGATAATTGCGCCAAAATAACATAGTTAACTTTCAAAAATTATTTGACAGCATTCTCGATTAAAATTTTATCTGATTTTTTTTGTCGATAAACTAGATTTGATGAAGTACATGTCATAAACATTTCATCAAAAACTTCTATCGGGAAGGTGGCCAAACGCCGCCGTCCGGACGGCGGGTCCTGTCCGGAATTCCGGACATGAATCTCTCTCTCTCTCTCTCTCTCTCTCTCTCTCTCTATATATATATATATATATATATATATATATATATATATATATATATATAGTCGGGTTCTAATGAGAACACATCTTAACGTGAGAAGTGAGAAGTTACACATTTACCTATTTCTGATGCACTTTTTTGCTAATCTGATGCACTTTTTGCGATGGCATAAAAGTTCCGATTAATTACGGAAATGCCACCGCGTCTAGCATCACTTTTTATATATTTTTTGCACTTTCCCGTGCACTTTTTTGCTAATCTGATGCACAGATTTTAAATTGAACGCACCAGATGCATTCTCACTTCTTACGATAAGCACTCTTCTCATTTGATCCTTATTCCCGGCCCCGGTCCGGAACCGGAACCTAACCGAGTCAGTATCGGGCCTCCAACTCTCAAACCCAGTACCGCCCAAGGCCCGACCTGGGCCTGGTCCATCCCAACCCCATGTCCCGACCCGACAGAGCACATGGGAGGTTGTAAATCACGATGACTCACTCAATCCTAACAGTGGTAAATCTTATACACGTGCGCATCAAAGACTCAATCCAGCACATAGGAGTTGTGACCTCCACACAGCCGCTGCGTGTTTCGATCCTTGGTCATTTGTCCAACTTTCCCACATCTTTACCGGTTGAGCTACCCGTGCTGGTCCCTTGCTTTTAAAATGTGTTCAGATGTGGCATGGTTTTGAAGAAAATTTCTTTTAGGATCATTTCGATTCTTATATGAAATTAGTGAAATCGTTATAAAAAATTTAACTAATAAAATTGGTTCAATTCTTATGTAAAAATTCAAGAACCATTATGGACCTCAATCAATACTAAACCTTGATTCTTATTTTTATCGGTTTCTAGAAATAAATTATTTTTTCTCATAAAAAATAAGCAAAATTTACTCTCTACCACACAAAAATGTCGAAAATTCAAAGCACAAGAAAGATTCGTGCAACACTTTTACCACACAAAAATATGTGCAACATGTAAAAAATGGAAACAAATACGATAGAATAATATTATTGATTCGCCTGGTCATCAAACAAGATGTCTGCTTATATACAAATTACGTAAGGCAATAGTGCCAGTTGCATGTGCGACCTACTCGGAGGAAAATAAGGAAGGCAATAATAAGTACAAATCTTATTCTTATATAGACAGAAGCTACGCTAGTACGAATAAACTTTGTACAAAAAATAAATGTTACATAAAATAATATACAATAATGTCCAACACCCCCCCCCCCCCCCCCAGATGGAGTATGGGGATCACAAATGCCCATCTTATCAAGCAGATAAGAGAATTGTTGAGCTCCAAGTGCCTTAGTGAGCAAGTCCGCAGGTTGTTCAGTAGTGGGTGTGTATGAAGGAGTGATAGCACCAGCTTGAATATGATCTCGAATAAAATGACAATCAAGTTCTGTGTGCTTGTTGCGCTCTTGATAAACGGGATTGGAAGCGATATGAAGAGTCGCTTGATTATCACAATGTAGACGTACGGGTCCGGAAGGAGTCACGCCCAATGACTGAAGTAGATTACGTAACCAAATAAGTTCGCAAGTTAACGAGGCCATGGCCTAGTATTCAGCCTTTGCGGAAGAACGAGATACAATTGCTTGCTTTTTGGTACGCCAAGACACGGAAGGTAATCCCAATAAGACAAAATAATCCGTAACAGATCGACGAGTGACTGGACAACTTGCCCAATCGGCATCACAATAACCGGTGAGAGAAAGAGAGGAGTCGGACCGTAACAAAATACCCTGACCAGGTCTCCCTTTCAAATATCGTAGGACACGTAGCACGGCTTCCCAGTGAGCCGCTCTGGGTTTTTGCATAAATTGGGAAAGAATATGAACTGAATAACTGATGTCTGGCCTAGTCAAAGTCAGATAAATAAGCTTCCCAACAAGCCGACGATAGCGTTCTGGGTCGGAGAAATATGGCCCAGATTCGGACTGCAACCGATGATTCTAGACCATAGGAAAAGAGACCGGTTTGGAGCCTAAGAGCCCTGTTTCACATAAAATATCAAGTACTTGTTTTCGTTGACATAGAAAGATTCCAGTGGGATTGCGTGCAACCTCAACCCCCAAAAAGTATTTCATGACACCCAAATCTTTAACTGCAAATGAGGCAGCAAGACATGTCTTAATATGCTCAATCATAGTTCCGTCATTACCAGTGATGAGTAAATCATCAACGTAAATTAGTACACATATTATCCGACTATCCTTGTGCATGGTGAACATGGAGTAGTCAGCGTGGGATTGAACAATTGAACAAATCTGTATGCCCTCAAAGAGGCAGTAAGTTTGAAGAACCAACACCTCGAAGCCTGTCGGAGGCCGTAAAGTGATCTAAGCAACCTACATAGCTTATCAGGAGAAGCAATGGAATAACCTGACGGGGGATGCATATAAACTTCTTTTCGAAGATCCTCGTGCAGGAACGCATTATCTACGCCCATTTGGTGCAATTCCCAACGACAAGAAGCAGCTACCGCCGAAATGGTACGTATTGTGACCATTTTAGCAATCAGAGCAAAATGGTCACAATAGTCGATTCCTTGCACCTGCATGTTCCCGCATACAACCAGTCGTGCCTTATAGCGTTCCGCTGACCCATTGCTCTTATACTTGATCTTGTAGACCCATTTGTAAAAAATGGTTTCTTCCCAGCCGGCAAATCCTGGACCCGCCATGTACCAGTGCGCTCTAAAGCTTCAATTTCCCGACTCATGGATGCCGTCCACTGTGGGTCACATATAGCTTCTCCAAAACCAGCGGGTTTCTTAGTCATAGAAATAACCGTAAGAAAGGCTCAACGCGGAACCGAAAATTGATTATATTTTACATAATGAGATATGGAATAAGGAGTACCTGAATCAACCGTCGAAGTGGTAGTGCTGACGAGGGGGGAGTTTATTTTAACCTTGTTCAATTTCACATCGTAACCCTAGTGCCACGCTGGAGCTTTACGTGGACATGTCCCACATCGCGGCTGACCTTCGTCTGTGGCATCATGAGAGTTGTCATGAGTGTGGGTCTCCGTGTTGGTTGCATACGGACCGTTCGTCGCTGGAGTCAAAGGAGTATGACTCCGTGTTGACGCAGCATGGGTACTATTGTTGCATGGTGTAACATTCTTGTGACGTGTGTTTAAGTTATTGTAGGTGCCCAGTGAGTCATCATGTAGGCTAGTCTCCTTTGCATGCAATTGTACTTCACCGGTCACGTTGGTACCAGTATTGCACTTCTCCACTCTAAATAGAAATGAATTTTCAATAAATTTAACGTCACGTGAAATAAAGTGTAATTGACCTCGGAGATCATACACCTTACAACCCTTTTTGGAATAAGCATACCCTAAAAATACACATATAATGCCTCTTGGTGCAAACTTGTCCCCGTTTTTCTGCGTCTCACGTGCATAACACAAACAACCGAAGACCCTAAGCTGACTATACATAGGTGGTTTGATGTATAGTAGTTCATATGGGATTTTATTGTCTATAACGGGGGACGACAATTTGTTGATCAAATACCCTGCCGTCAAGACACATTCACCCCAAAATTCTATAGGCAAATTGGCGTGAAAGCGAAGTGTTCTTGCGACGTCCAATATGTGCCTATGCTTCCATTCTACCCGACCTTTTTGTTGAGGTGTGTAGACGCGTGACGTTTGAAAAATTATTCCATTGGTCAAAAAATATTCTTGAAGAGCTACAAACTCCTTGCCATTATCACTTCTAACAACTTTTACAACTTTGTTAAGTTGACAACAAAGGGGGAGGAGTGTTGTAAGATAACTGCAAAAAATGGAACAAACGACTATTAAAGCCACACACTCTAACCGGCTGCCAAAGCCATGTTGAGGATCAAAACTATCTAAAGAAGGTGATGGTCACCCCCTTCTTTCTTTAGTTGCCACGTGGCATTCCAATCCTTTTCTTTTTCAAATTGTTGTAATTTTTTATTTATGATCTACATTTTATAAAAAATCTATCAAATTATATATTTCATGATCTTTTCAATGATATTCATATTGCATATAAAAATTTGAAAAAATCTATTTTTTCTCAGAAAACTGTTTTACTCATTCTTGTTAATAAAAAAAGCAGTATCAGTATCCCAAGGAGGAAGGGGGACTTGACATATGCTCCTTAAATGATATTGAGAAAGCTTTTTCTTTAAAACTTTGGTGGAAATGGAAATCTTCATCTTATAAAATGGACTTGACATAGGCCCATTTTATAAAAGAAAGATATCTAAGGGAGGAAAATGTGAGGCCTAAACTGTTTGACTCACTTGTTTGGAAAAGAATTTGTTCCATCAATGACCTGGCTTCATCTTTAGTTGATTCATCTGACATGCAATTAACCTG